AATGAAGGCAATAACAGTGGAGGAGCTAAGAACATCTATTTTATATAACAGGGGAAGCTGCCTTCATTCTGCAAGTTAGGGAACAGTGCCTTTGACAGGCCACGAAACCCTGGCTTTTCCCATGAGGTGTCTGATAGCTGACAGAGTTTTCAGGAGCACAGTCAATTACAGGAGGAAGTTCAAGGCTTGGGGCCTAGTTTTTCAAGGTTGTACTCATCAACCTCCCTTGCTCTTGACAACCTGCTCCTCCTACTCCCATATTTCTATTTCAGCCGTGGCATGCCCTACCCACCCCATTATAGAAGCCCCAAACTGAAGTCAACAGCTCTTCGGTCTCCACATCCCATATCCAAGTAATCATTCAGGGCTCATGGCTTTCTATCCTGATTATCTGGAGAGCTCACTCATCTTCCTGGTCCCTCCCACACTGCCTGTGCTCAAGCCTTCACCTCTAGTGTCCTTGTGTACCTTCTCCAGGGCCTTCTTTGCTCTGCCATCAGAGTGATTCCTTTCAATGAAGGAATGAATGATCACGTTGCTCCTTGGCTATAAACACTCCTTGGACTCCTACCACTGATTAGGTTTTGAGAAACATGTAAATGAGATGGGAGAAGTGCACTTGGCAGAACTTGAGAGAGGTCATATATTCATCAGGAAATCCATCCAGGTTAGATAGGCATTCATTACTTATTTCCTATACTTATTAGGGAAACTGAATTTTGAGATATTATTTCTTTCTATATTTCCAAACACTATTTTCAAAATAGAACATTCCTAAGAAAACAGAATAAAAAAAAAAGAGTGAAAAAATCCACAATAAGATACCACCTCACACCCATTACTATGACTACCATTAAAAAACAGAAAATCATAAGTACTGGTGAGGATATGGAGAAACTGGGACCCTGTACCTTGGTGGTGCAGCTGCTGTGGAAAAATTAAAGAGAACTATTATGTGATCCAGCACTTCCACTTCTGGACATATACTCAACAGAATTTAACTCGGGGACTCAGATGGATATTTGTACACTCATGTTCCGAGCAGCCTTACTCACAATAGCCAAAAGGTGGAAACAATCCAAGTATACATCAACAGATAAATGGATCAGCAAAATGTGGTATAAACATACAATGGAAAACCACTCAGTCATAAAAAGGAAGGAAATTCAACACATGCTACAGGTGGATGAACCTTAATTAAAGACATCACACTAAGTGAAATGAGCCAGTCACAAAAGCACAAACACTGCATGATTCTACTTATATGAATTACTCAAAGTGGCCTAAATCAAAGAGACAGAAAGCAGAGAGGAGGTTGTTAGGAACTGAGAGGAGGAGGGAATGGGACGTTATTGTTTAATGGGTGCAAGGTTTCAGTTTTGCAAGATGAAAAATGTCCTGGAGATAGGTTGTACAGTAACATCAATGCATTGACACTACTCAACTGTATGCTTAAAATAGTGAGGATGAAGGAAAAATGCCATTCAAAGATGTGGCCCTGGTTACCTACCCCTTGGGGACCTAAAATTCATGGGCAATCATTCTCTAACTAGTTAAGGATGGCTGGAGGCCAGGGAGAAAGAAGGTTTGATGGAGTGCTAAGTGATTTTTATTTGAATTTGTACCAGCGAGTATCACAGGGATAACAGAGACAAAATGTGTCTGTCCACTGAAGCCAGGTAAACAGGGTACGTAATGGTAGGACCAGAACCATCTCCCCAGCCAACTGAAATTCAGTCTAACACAGGTTGCTTCTCCTTGGCCTCTCTGATTGCCTTGGCGAGTTCTGCAGCTGTCTTCTCACCTTTTGCTGGAGGATCCTGAACATGACTGTGAGATTACTCAAATAACTGCAGTGTCCTCTGGGAATTGACCTATACTACAAATATGCATCCCTCTGCATAACAAATCTTGTTCCAATATTTGAAACATCCATGCCCAAAGAAATTAATTTTAAAAACCTTTCCCAAAGGGACCCACATGTCTTACTAAAATTTCATTCTTTACCTATTTGCTGAATTTTTATTAAGCATGCAATGTGAATGATACCTTGAAATGCAGAAAAGAATAAAACAATGATCTCAAAAAGCTTTCTATCAACAGGAAAGACACTCACAGAAGAAGAATTCCAACCCACTCCCAGCCTGTCTTCCCCGTCTCCCCCATCTCAGAAAAGGATGTGCCATCACCTCAGCTGTTTAACTTCAAACCCGGGAATCACCCTTGATGCCACCTTGCTCCATCTCAGTGACTGACACCCAGATACAAGTCACCATTATCTTTCCCATCTACAAAACAAACAGCTTTCCAAATGGTTTCCAAGATACATTCTTCAAATGACTTACATCCTAATATTTGTAATAAGTACATCATGTTACTCTCCTTCCTAAAGAGGGGGGAAAAGTGCCCATGGTTAGTGACCCTATGTCTTACAGGAAAGGCTGAGTGTAGATCACTGTTTGGTTACCTCCTCCTTCCCTCCATCTATTTATAGAGATAGGATCTTACTCTGTTACCCAGGCTGGAGTGCAGTGGTATGACCATAGCTCACTGTATCCTGCAGCCTTAACCTCCTGAGCTCAAGAGATCCTTCAGCCTTAGCCTCCTAGTAGTTAGGACTACAGGGATACGCCACTACACTTGGCTCACTTTCTGGTTCTCAAATGGTTTCAAATTAAAAGGCACCACCACTGGTTAATGAAAGTGGTACCCAGATTCCAGGATTAACTGGGTCCTGAGCCGGGAGACAAATCCAAGCAAGCACTCTTCCTATCACGGAACAATTTAATTAGACAATACAATACTCAACAGTCGAGATCACACTATTTAAATTGAAATTAACACTAAAGACCTACATGTTATATGAAACTGAAAGTAAGCATATGAATGATTCAATCTTAGTCACCATAAAAAGCCATCGTTAAAACCATTGTAAAGGATTAAAGGTCTGCAATAAAACGTGCCTTCCAAATCACTGATCATTCAGTTGCTCTGAGCATGTTCTCACATTCCCAGGGTCTTACTGACACAGCTTATTTCAAGACAGAATTATTTAATGAGTGCAACGTCTCTCAATAACCATGTAACAAGATGGAAATGCTGAATCTGGTAAAGACAAAAGCCAACACAAGGGAGCAAACTGTGGGTGCTTCCAGAAGTCCTGGAAGGAGGGGTGGAGGGCCAGGAGCCTGCAGCCAAGATGGTTTTTGTTTTGTTTTTAAACTCAAGCAAGGTGTGGGATCTGGGCTTCAGCTTGTGGGTCTATAAAATGAGGAGTCAAGAAATGGGGTCAAAGGTCCCTCTTATGATAAGAAAGCAATTCTTCACAGGTGTCAGCTTTCCACAAATCAAAACCCTGACCTCAGTCTTTGTGCACATGCTCAGGGTTCGTGAGAAGTGTCCAGTCAGGGAAGGGGACTATTAGCAATGAACTGGGCCCCCAACTAGAGTAAGGCATACAGTAACGGAGTCAAAGCATGTGTTGGAATCAGATAGACCCAAATGCCTACCACAGCCCTAACTCTGAAACTGTGGGAGATAAATGTATATATTATTTCCCCATATGTAAAATGAGAATAGGGTTGTTTTGAGAATTAAAAGATCATGGGGCTGGGCTCATGGCTCAGTCTGTAATCCTAGCACTTTGGGAGACCAAGGCAAGTGGATTGCCTGAGCCCACGGGTTTCAGATCAGCCTGGGAAACTTGGCAAGACCTCGTCTCTACAATAAATCAAAAATTAGCTGGGCTTGGTAGCACACAACTGTAGTTCCGGCTACTTGGAAGGCTGAGGCGGAAGGATCTCCAGAGTCCAGAAGGTCAACGCTGGAGTGGCTGTGAGTGTGCCACAGCACTCCAGCTTAGGCGACAGAGTGAGACTCCAACTCAAAAAAAAGAAAAGAAGATCATGGATTCAAGGTGTTAGCACAGTGCCTGGTATACAGAAATTACTAAGTAACCAACAGTTCTAGAAGATGTTGTTCTTGGTACTTTTTTTTTCTTTGAGTTGGTATCTCATTCTGTTGTCAAAGCTGAAGTGCAGTGGCACGATCTTGGCTCACCTCAGCCTCGATTTCCTGGGCTCAAGTGATCCTCCCATCTTAGCCTCCTAAGTAGCTAGGACTATAGGCGCATGCCACCACACTGGCTAATTTTTTACTTTTTGTAGTGACTGGGTCATCCTATGTTGTCTAGGCTGGTCTTGAACTCCTGGGCTCAAGCAACCCTCTCGCCCTCGGCCTCTCAAAATGCTGGGATTACAAACATGAGCCACTGTGCCTGGCTCATTGATCTTGTTACTTTTATCTCACTTATTTAGCTATTAGTTTTATCTCTATTATTTTATACAAGATTCTCCTGGTAGGAAAGATAAAATTACGGAAGCTCACAAAACCAAAAAGACCCCCAAAAACTCTGTTATTAGGCCCTTTCCTTATTACTGTCTTTTGACTGATGAAACCACTGAGGACTTGTGCAGTTAAGCTGACTGCCCAAGGTCACCCAGCCACTAAGCCCATTTAAACACTCTCTTTTGTGCCCTCAGCAGACCCCTAGTGTTTGGAAGTAGTGAAGATAATTTCCTGGGCTACTGGATTCCCTAAGAATAAAGGCTGCCTCTGTTATTACAAATCACTTATAAAACGAGATAAATGTGCGCTAAGCCAAAGGGATCGTGCACTGAGTAATCAAAGTGCCAACTCTAAAATATTAGACAGTTATGAAAATGATAATGAAGCTGTAACGGCCCTTACTAAAATGCTTATTATACTGTTAAGCAAAAAATCAGAAAATGCAATCCCTTTTATGCTGTGATTATAACTAAGTAAAATTATGCACATGTATAGCAAGGGCTGGAAAGGAACTTGCAAAATGACAACGGCTGATTTGATAAGGAGGTGCAGTGGCAGAAGGTCTATTTTTATCTCATGACTATAATGGAGTTGGCACAATAAACGGCACAGTGTTGACAGCCACAGAGAGGGAGACACTGCTGTTTACTCACCCGGGGTTATACAGCATGACTGCGGACAGGTTCTCACAGGACTTCGAGAGGTCAGTCATGGACAAGCTGAAGGAGGACAGAAGGCCACTCTAAAAGCAGACATAGGGTGGAGTGGTTACCTTAGTGGGTAAGAAAGGCCATTGCCCCCGACACTGCTTCCAGTATGTGAGAAACAAGGAGGGGCATACTCTCCTAACTAATGCACATGACACTTAATTGGTCTATTTGAGGAAAGCAGACCAGGGACAGCCAAACCCTGATGCATCTCAAACCCAAACTCCTAGCCAAACAAGGCAGGGCCCTGGCATTTTAGGACTGGGGAGATTCACCAGGAATTTCATAGTCCAGTTGGTCTCCTAGCCAGTTAAAGTCAAAGAAAGGGGTCCTGGCATCTGTCACCCTCCATCACCTGCAGGCAGCAGTGTCCTGTTATCAGCTGCACTCACACCACATGAGCAATAAAGATGAAGGTGGGAGAAGTTACAGGAGACCAAAATGCTAAGAGCCTGACCTATTTTACTTCCATGGGAAGCTATGGGCAAACATATTTTCTTCCCACTGTTGCTCTGAAGCTGCATACCAAAAAGGAACCTCTGGGGAGACCCTGGGCTGCAACAGATAAGAGGTTTCACTGGCTGGAACGCACAGTCCTGGAGAAGGTTGGAGGTTTCCGTTTTCTCCTCATTTCCCATCTGAGGCGGGCAGCCTTCACAAACAGAGGCAGAGACGAGAGGCTGTATAGCTCAGGGGTCTAAAATAAATTTCCAGGGTGAAAGTTAGGGCTGCAGCCCTAGCTCTCCACCTGCTGGCTACAGGACAAGTCAGGGAGCATCTCTTTTGGTCTGTTTCTCATGATTATCTGTAACATGGGGGCAGTAACAACTGCTACATAGATAAAATGGTAGAATACATGCAGAAGTTCAGCACCATTTCTAGTTCACAGAGTGTCAATTGTATTCTTTATCTATCTCAGGTCCAATTGATGTCCCTCAGCAGATTTCTTTCTTTCTCAATTCTTCCCTTCCTTCTCTGGTCCTTAGCCCGCCTCCCCATTTAGCACATAAAGTGCCCTCTAGGGGTCCCCTTCTAATCAAGCCCACGTCTCTGCCAATTGTCCTAAGCTCACACCTGCACTGCCTCCCTCCCCAATGGAGAATTCAATTTACTAAGATTCTGGATGAACGTGATTCCAATATTGGGTTGATTCCTAAGAGAGATGCTGATAAGCGGAAGTCACGCTCCACTAATGCAAAAGGATGCCCAATTCCTTTGTGGGAGAGGCAGAAGGGTAAGAGAAGAATCTAGAAGGAGGAGTATCTTCTTGCCTGCTCTGGACTTTACTTGCTTGCTGTCTAATCATCTGCTGGAAACAAACTCCCTAGAACCAATCCTGGTTACAGAATTGCTTTTCCAGTGGATCTGTACCCCAGGAAGTCACCTCCCCATATCCCCCCACTCTGGATCAGAGGTTCCCTCCTAGAGAGGCCGTGTTGCTCACCTTCCTCTTCTCCCTGAGCTTGGCAGCTTCCTTCGGATGGTTAAAGCGAAACATGTTGGTTCTCCCCAAAAGTATCACAGCACCTGAGAACATACAAAAGCATTAATGAATTTACATAAGCAGTTTGGTCAGTTGGCAACATCCTAACATGGAATTCTACAACTGAAATGTAATATCCAGTGTATCATGAAATCATGAGGAAAAGCCTTAGTCCCAAAAGTCCGCTTACTTAAGCCTATTTTAAATCTGCAAATACTTTTATTTTTATAGTTGTGTGTCACAATACTCATACTCATAATACCCTAGGCAGATGTGATGCATCTAAGCATTACAACGTATTATAAGATTTAAAATTTAATCGACACATAATTAAGCTTTTGATTATTTGGGAGGGAAAGAAACCAGTTCTCCAAAGAGACGTAATATCAAGTAAAGCTTATGGTCATAAATTGAGGAACATTTATTAATGCTGATAAAAGTAGAAATCACAAAGAAAAGTGCTTTCAAAAGAAAACATGCTGAAATTGGTGGAGTACAAGTAACTATTACTAAAATCCCCCTCAGAATTTTTCAGGAAGGAAATTGTATACGTGTATGGTCTATTTCCAAGCAAAAGTATTGCTTCTTGTCAAAATTCTGCTCATTTAGATGAACACAATAGACACACAAGAAAAGCTCCTTTTGACTGACCAGAGTCCTCTTTATTCAGAAAACAACTGCACAAGAGGCAAAGGAATCCAAGGTAAATGCCAAGGACAACAAAGTGATGAGAGGAGGCAAATTTCAGCTTGATTAAACAAATAAATAAATCCTTTCTAAGGTCAGAGCTGTCCAAAGCCAGGGTAGGTATGTGGAGGGCAGTGAGCTCCTTGTCACCAGAGATATGTAAGAAAAGTGGTATTGCAGAAGAGATTCACTATCCTATATGGTCCCATCTACACGAGTCTGCCTCAGGACAGACCTCCATGTTCAGTCTTCGCCTGGAAAAATACTCAGTGAAGACAAGACACATAAATTGGAAGAACGACATGTGTGTGACTAAGCATATAGCATCTAAGTAAGTGATGAGTGCAGGCTGGAGTAGCCGAGGACACACTTCCACACTAAGGACCTAAGCTGGATCTCACTGTACAACCAGAGAGCAAGATGAGGTGTTCCACATGGGTAGCTGCAGGGAGAGGCTAAGCCTCAGACAGGAGAACAGCCTGCTATGTTTGGGATGGAGGAGAGGCAAGTCTACCCACACTATAGGGTGTCTGAAACAGCAGCAAGAACCAGTACTGGATAGATGAAGTAGAAACAGGCTATGCAGACTTGGATCCAGGATACAGAGTTTTGACCAGAGGTCACGCATGGGTGGCCATGGAAAAAATTCAACCCACAGAGGAGTTTTCTGTGTTTCCCACAATGTTTAAGAAACAAGACTTTTTTTAGTTGATAAAAACTCAAAATCTGGAGATTTCACATAAAAATCTGGGTATCCTTCCAGCATCTCTTCAAAAATTGTAAGGCATGCTATCAATAGATCTTTGTTGCCACTTGTCAAAAATTCCTGGGCTGCTGATGGTGTCCTCTGGGCAGGGCACATGCCCTGGGTTGACCACAGTTACCAGTCTTGTGTAGTATCTTCTTCACCTGGACTCTGCAGGTAATATCATAATCCTGGATGATTATTTGGGAGCTTCAGGCCAGCATGTCTACCTGCCTACCTGACATACGGTCTCAGATATCTCAGGAGAGTTTCAAATTCAATATGACTAAAACCTAACTGGTTTAAATAATAACTACAGGGAGCAATTGAAGGGGTAGTTTTAATGGTTGTCATTATTTAGCAGAAATGGAGTCACTATGAAAAGGAGAAGACAGCTTGAGGCATCCTGGAAGGGGAGCAGTGGGTATTATCTACTCGACAATGTGCTTATCCCCCTTAAGTAAAATTGCATTTGTATTTTTTCCAAGTATGAAAAGGAACCATTACCATAATTTTAAAAGGTGTCTCCCTTGCCTTTTATGACTAGGACTTGGAAATGTGTGCTGCACCAAAAGTCAAAAGTTAAGCAGCCATGTCTATGATATAGGTATATTTAATGCTCTTAAACTTACATTAGAGATTAATAAGGCAATCGCCTTCCAGGTGTTAATTACATCTCCAATTTTTTTTCTGTTAATCAAATGCCCAGCCATGCAAGTTGAAAAATGCTAAAATATGTTAATAGAAAAATAAGATGGTATTTCAGAGACATAGTTCAGATTGTACCAAATCGCTGAAAATTATCTTGCCACCCATGTTATTTGCCTGAAATACACAGAAAGTCCTTAAGGAGTTATGAAAGACAGCAAAACTACCTGTGACAATTCATAGTTCCCCTCTAAATACTGTGAGACTGCTGCCTGGTTCCAACAATGCTGGTTTCCTTCCCTTTTCTCTACTGTGTCCCATTACTCAACAAACCTACTGAATTTCAGAATTTGCTTCATTTTTGCATGATGTCACTGTCATTCATTCAGCATATACTAAATGACCACTTACTGCTTACTAGTCACTAGGATATACACTGGGGATACAGACTTGAGCAAGTCAGACATATTCCTTGCCCTTATAGAGCTAAAAAAAAAAAAGGTTGAAGAGAGAGGTAAATAATCAAATAATTCCACAAATAAATGCAAAGCTGCAACTGAGGAGAAGAACTCAGGACTCAAAGAGCAAAAAAGGGAATTTATTGTAGAAGAAAAGTTGGGAAGGAACACCCGTAAGGGAGGTGGTGCTTAAGACAAGCTCTGAGGGTGAGCTAGGGAGAGTGTCATGTGTAAAGGTCCTATGTCAGAAAAAAAGCAATGATGAGAAGGAAGAGAGGGAGGAGGAGAAGGAAGAGAGTAAGGAAGATGCAACAATGAGTGATTAGAAGAAGTCATAGGGCTGTAGTAGAGGGAACAAGGAAGAATACTGCACAAGGTAATGGTTACGGGAGAGGGAGAAAGTGAACCCCATCAAGTCTTTCAGGATATACAGTAAAGAATATTTGTGTTTTATCCAGTTGCAATACAAAGACATTGAAGGGCTTTGTGCAGCAGTGTAATATGATAAGATTTCAGTTTCAGAAACATCACTCTTGTGATGGCAAATGAAGAATGACCAAAGGGTTCAAGAGCAGATGTGAACAGATAAGCTAGGAGGCTACTGCAGTGGTCCAGGTGAGATGATGATGGCTAAGGAGTGGGCAATGGGCTAGTGAAGGAGAAAGGGAACAAATCTGGAAGATATTTAGCAGAAAAACATCAACAGGATTCAATGATGGACTAAATACAGTAAGGAGAAGGTGGGTAAGGAGGATGATGCCTGGGTTTTGAAGGACTGCATAAAAAGTCAGACAGGAGTCTTCCACACAGACTGAGAACACTGGAAAAGGGACAAGATGGGGCAGGAAACAAATGCAAGTTGGTTTTAGACATAGTGAATTAGAGATGCCCTTGGCAAATGAAAACATGGGTCTGAAGCTCTAAAATAAAAGCCTGGAATATTGATCTATCTCACCTGCCTACCTACTTACTTACCTAATATCTGCGTGCGTGCATGCATGTGTGTGTGTGTGTGTGTGTGTGTGTGTGTATACGTGTGTGTATGTATGTAGGGTGAGAGAAAAAAAGAGAGAATTCCTTATCTAAAGTTCTTGGGACAAGAAGAGTTTGGGAGTTCTGCTTCCTTTTGGATTTTGGAATACCTAAATATAGATAATAAGATATCTGGGGGATGAGTCCCAAGCTTGAACACCAAAATCCATTTATGGGTCATATACACTTTATACACATAATCATGAAAGTAATTTTACATAATATATTTTTAAATAATGTTGTGTACAAAAAAACTGCCGGAAAGCAAAAATGTCACTATCTCAGTCACCCATGTGGACAATCTGTGGCTGCTTGGTATCACCATCATTCCTGACTATGAATGTATGTGCTACTGATAACCAATCATTTTCTTGAACTTACTCATGCCTAACTGTATAATAGTAAAAAAATATGACGTACCATTTATGCACTGAAACAGTAATGTACCTATCAGCACAGTCGCATCACCAGAATACCTGCATCAGCTGGCAGATGACAGCAGTAACAAGCAGCAAGCTTGCAGTCAACACCTGAGATGCTGTGTTTTGCATACAAGGTCATGGACACTGAATGTTATGTTTTTTAGAAGAGAAGAAGCATCAGAAGTAGTCAAGAGATCGAGAAGTGGGTCCTCTGGGGATGAAGACGTGTTCTGCTGGATGCCTTTTTAAAATGTTCCCTCCAGAGTCATCTGTCTCTTCACAGGTCTCTCTTTGATTTTAAGAGCTGATGTGATTTATTGTTCTGTTATGAATGCACATTGCTCTAGTCCTTCAATAAGTCCATCACACATTATCACCATCATCTATAGGCAATTTTTCTGCAACATTCACAACATCTTCATCATCACTATCATCATCACCACCTTGATTCAGAATCGTTTCAGCTATTTCATCACCAGACAATGAATAAACAACTGGAGCCTCATTATTGATGTTAAGAACTTCTTCAATATCTTCTTCCAGCTTACTGATGGACTCTGAAGGAATATTTTTCATATACGCAAGGAGGTCAGATGTCATTTTTTCTCATTTGACCTACGGAATCCTTGAAAGTCACCACTTTATCGTCATGACTGAACATAGTCACAGGCCAGAAGTTGAACCAGGTGTGCACAAGGGTGACTTTAGTCACTGTGCTCCAAGAGTCGGCAGTGGCATATACAGCATACCTCATGCTAAACTTCTTTTGAAAACCTTCAAGAAAAGTGTTTTGATATTTACTCTTTATTGATCTAAGGTTACCCCCATCACATGGCTGAATTAATAAAGTTACATTTAGGGGAAATCGCATGGCATAAACACGAGTTTTTATGAGAATTTCAGTTGGAGAATGAGCAAAAAAATTGTCAAGGAATCACAAAATCTTGTTGTCACCCTCTAGCCTATACATATATGTATGTATATATACATACATATACATATATATATGTGTATGCATGTGTGTATGTTTGAAAGTCATCACTAATAAATGA